GGAAGAGAATAAGAAAGCCTTCCAGGTCTGATTTATAGCCTCCTGAGCCCAAGCCTGCTCAGGTGAGCTGCATCAGAGGGTAATCTCAGCTCCACCCCTTATTTCCTGAAACAAAGAGCAAACAATCCAAGCAAGAGGAACAGAATAAGGCCATCCCTAGGGCCGTCACAGTATTAACAGTATTAAACTTGAATTTAACAGTTAAATCTATAAACAGTAAGTATAAATGATAAATGATTAGCAAATGTATTTTAATCTTTTTTATGTGAAAAACATTTCTCTACATAAGCAGTCATTTTATGATTATTTAATAATTACATTACACAGTATAACACAAGTTTGATGCTTGTCTCTGCAGACTGAGACATTAAAGAAGCTGCAGTAACTGTATAATCCTGGTGTCCACATACTTTTGGCCATGTCGTGCAGCAGGATTGGGTGCTGCAGAGTGGAGCCTCTTACTCAATAAATGATCTCTGGTCAGTAGATTTATCAATATTAAGTAATAATAACATTTGACCTGTGACCTGTGTGTCAGGATGGAGCCTCAGCTGGCTCAGACTCTGCTGGAGAGAGCGAGACAGGACCAGACCAAGAGGCTCTGAGTATCAGGAACATCCAACCAATCAATGATCAATATAATTATTTTTTATGTAGTAATCACTTTTTATGCCACAAGATGTTTGTTTATGAAATGATAAATGTCTGGCTGTATATATTGTCCCTGGCCAGGCAACGTTACCTGTTCAGGTACCTGGTCAAGAAGTATTATGAGGTTATATCACAACGCTGGTAAAATCTATCATTTGTTCTCAGTAAATAAAAACACACAAACATAAATAAATACTGTTTATGTTACTGTGCAGCCTGACATGCATGATACAGTCTGAAAATACAAACAACAACAACTTGAATACAAACATTAATCTACAAAATGATCCAACGTTATGAAATTGAGGTTACGGAAAGTGAAACTGTACGGAGAAACAATTTTATTCCATTGTAACCACGGCAACAAACTTTCATTCTTGACCCTAATGAATAACAAACTGACTTTTTTTTATCAGGATTTAGTTTTGGCACTAAAATATTGCCACAGTTCCATTTTTATATTCACTAACCGTTAGTTACAATACTAACGCCTGCAGATAGATGTGACCTCTCAGTATTACATCCTATTAAACTAATCAATAAACTAATGTCGAGATTTTGAGCTGCTCTCTGTTGATAAAATACAGTCGTATACAGTTTTACATGCTATGAAAATAACATTTGCTACAATGTGAGCTTTATCTAACAGGCTGTAACACTCAAGTCAAAGGCAACATTATCTAATAAACAACAAACAGCTGAGCGTTCAGCCTGGAAGACGCACTGCAGGGAAACACTGACCCACGAAAGGAAGCTTAAATCTAATTTTAGTTAAATCCTCTTGTTCTGTTTTCTCTGATGTAGCAGATGGATATCAAATTCACCTCTGTGTTTAGCCTAGCTTAGCACAAAATTGGAAACTTAGCTATCATGTTAATCCCAAATCCATCCTGTTGGGTTTAGTCTAACTTGACCCCGAAGCTAACTCTAAGCTAACTGGAGCTGAAGCTATAGCTACTAACTTGAGTCAACCTGAACCTGAACTCTTGAACCTGGAGCTAAACTGACCCAGAAGCTCACTCTAAGACATTGAGACAGGCTAAATCTAAGCTAACTATACAAAGCCAACAAGATACAACATTGAAATCCGACAGCTAAGCTAGGCTAAACACAGAGAGAGACTAAACTGTGTGAGTGCTGAACAACAAGATTAATCTAAAGACAACTGCTTTAACTGTTTGTGGCTTCGTTACAGAGCCACCATGTTGACAGAGAACAGAATGAAGCTCTCCTCTTCCTCCTCTTTTTCTATTTTTCCATCATACCACCTGCATCCACCATCCTCTAACTAATCTTCACACTTGCATAGCTCTGGAAACATGTTTTGAGGGGGATTATATGGAAAGCCAAAAGGGTCAAAATTAGTCACTTAACTTCAAACTTGATATGTTGCCGCATTTTTTATTTTTTTTGGCTCATGGTGTAAAACGCTGCCTTTTATGCCATAAAAATACAATAGTTTGACCTTACTGACGCAAACCTAGCTACCCACCTGCACACGGTTGGTAGAAATCCCTTTGGACTCTGTGTTGGACTCT